CAGCAGCTCTAGATGCGTCGATGTGAAGCGAAAGTCAAAGAGAGACCGTGAGTAAATGGGACTACCTCTGATTTATACACATGCATGAATGTGCGTGCTGATCTGACTTTATGACTTCTAATACTAAATGTCTGTCTGCTGTTTCCACAGTTCCTTCTTGGTGACGTTTTCTGCAGTGATCGAGTCTGGCTCTAATGCCAAATTGTGTGCAAGTCTTTTAAAACCCAATGAGAGTCTTGCGTTGACCATCTATCTGGTTGATGACAAAAACCGGACGACACAGCTCGTGCAGCAGAGATCTTCAACGGAGTTTCACCGCTGTTTTAGTTTCCAGGTCTGACACCGTGTGGCACATGCAGTGTTCTCATTTTTCTTTCATGTAGTAACAATGTGTTTCTCTACAGGCTCCTCAAGTCAATGGAGAATTAGTGCAGAAACTGAGGGTGGTACTTGAAGGGAGGTTCTTCAAAATGACTGAAGAGCGGAAAGTCATGTTCAGGCGTTATCTGCCTTTGACCTTCATCCAAACTGACAAACCCATCTACAATCCAGGACAAATGGGTGAGCTACAAATGACCAGTGTATGAATATTAGAAGTGCTCAGAACTTGTAGTGTAATGGACTTTCTACATGTTCAAATGCTTTATGTAATGGATGTGAGTTGTTTCCCTTTTGCAGTGAACTTCAGGGCTGTGACCATGGATGCTAAATTTGTGCCTCTTGATCAAATGGTAATGCCTGATCTGCTTCTAGTGTTGTGTGTGTGTGGTTTTTTTTTTTTTTAAACTCCTAATATTGTTTCAATGGTTTTTTTTTTTTTTAAGTGTTTTTTTTTTAAATGCCTAATATTACTGTTTGTCTTTACAGTACAGCCTAGTGGTGGTGGAGGTGAGAACTTGTTCTGGACCAAGTCTTTGGATAAATGCTATACTGGTTTACCATTGCATGTCCTGTGTTTTATGTTCCTTTTTAGGCTTGCGTTTTTCTTATTCCAAGCTTTTTCCCTCCAAATAGGACAATCATAATAACCGGATTGGTCAGTGGACAAACATTTCTTCAACGGGGTGGATATTGCAGCTTTCTCACCAGTTAAACCCTGAGGCTCAGGTCGGGATGTACACACTGAGGGCTTTTATTGGTGACCGAATGACCTCACAGGTTTTTGAGGTGCAAAAGTATGGTAACTCCACACGTATGATGTGCAGCAGGTAGCTTTGATGACTGACTGAGGTCCTAATTTAAAGCCTTTGTTTCTGGTTTAGTTTGACGTCACCTTGACTGCACCACAGATGTATAGTGTGGGAGATGTGGGACTGAAAGTTGAGGCTTGTGCCAAGTAAGAGTAAGCTCTTATATTCTTGACTTGTTGTCTTTTGGTTTGTTCTTGATCTTGTTTAACATTTTCCCAGTTACACATATGGGCAACCTGTACCTGGTCAAGCGTTGGTGGAAGTGTGTCGTGAGCCGTTCCCGTACGCTGTGGTACCTGGCCTGTCTCGTGTGTGTCTTATCAAAACTGCTATGGTATGAGACTGCTGTACAGAGCAGGGTTTTTTTTCTTCTGCATGTCTACATTTAAATCTGACCTCCTTTGTTCTGCTACCAGATGAACAACACTGGCTGTGTTTCCCTTACCATCAGTATGTCAGAGTTTTTCAACACCAAATTTGAAAATTACCTGCAAGATTTATTTCTAGTTAATGTGAATGTCACTGAGGAGGGAACGGGGGAGTTGCTGGCTGATTTGAACCAGTGACTTGGCTTTATTTGGTGTCTTATGTTTGTGGCATTTCTGTTTCCTCCCAGATGTAATGATGTCAAAGTCCACAACCGTGTCCATTATGTCTGAAGCTGGCAAGGTCACATTTTTGGACAGGTTTCTTTGCCTATGGATCAATGATTAACGGAAAGGTGAGTAAAGCTTCATCCTTATTAGACAGTCCTAATTAGTTCCCTTTCCTAACCTTTCTTTGCCAACAGATTTCAGCATCTTATTTCAATGGGACTTCAATCACAAGCAAGGCCGTCTATCTCCTGGATGGTAGCCAATGGCCCAACA